TTTGAAGATTGGCAACTTTCTCTTTTCCTACGAAATCCAATTTTTTTGCGAGCCTGCACGAACACGCGCGCGAGGACCCCGCGCAATAGGTGACACTTGCTTTCCTGCACTGCGAATTTGCTTCTTTCTTGAGCCACAAACAGAACTTTGATGCCGCTTATAGAAGTCGCCTCGTGCGCTGTATAAGTCGTAACTAACTAAAAGCGTTCTCAACAACTTTTTCTTACACAAAACGCCGAATCTTGACTCATACGTCAACGGGTAAAAGTGTAACGTCATCCACGTAATTGCGCGTAGACACGAATTGATTAAATTTAATAAGCCTTTTTGTTAATTTTTCCCTGCATTGAGTTCAAAATCATTTTATTTGTCATCCAAATTGCTTTCTTTTAGTGGTTATCAAAAATAAAAGTAGTTCAGTACAAATGACGTAAATTTTTTGTAAGTCTAATGCGACATATAGATGAGTGGGAGTCAGTCTTTTTCGCGAAAGGCTTCGAGAATAACCTCTTCCCACCTAAATAGCCTGGGGGTGTCAGTTTTAATAAACAAACTCTCCCAACCGTGTCACATCCGCTCCTTTCTTCTTTCGAAAAATTTTGACTTCAATCTTAATTACACTCATAATTGATACTTTAAAACCCAAGGACTCACAGAAATAAGCCTTTTTTATCGTTGTTGGATTGATGCCCCACCGATGCTTAAATCACGAGATCCAATCAAGTACCACATTGGAAACATTAGACCTTTTGGAATAATTGACCCGATAGAATGACGCGAAGAAGATACCAAAATATCGAGTCCTTTCTGACTTGTAAAATCTCAACCACGCAACATTCACTTGGAGATACACCAGGGATCCAATCAAGTACCACATTATAAAAACTAGACCGTCTGGACTTATCGACCAGACTGAAATAACGCTGAGAATGAAATCGCCACGGAGTGTTGAGTTTTTTTTTTCTTTCGAAGTTATAGATGCTAGCAATTTGCAGTGATTTTGTGTCTGGCTCTACAGAAACATGAGTAAACACCACATAAAGATGTTATGATATCATAACAGGAAGAAAGGAGGTAATTTTTAGAGAGTATTTGCCAAGCAACGATAAGTGATTATGAGGCTTCGATTGTTTATCATGAACAATATCTTAACTTTATCTTTTCTACCTCACGAAGTGAACGCAGTGAAAATAAGCAATCTAAAAGAGATGCAAGATCACGTTTAAAGGATTTTTTTGCTTAAGCATAGCCGGATTTCCACTGTTCTCTTGAGTTCGGTCATCATAGATTCTCTCAAGAAGGAACTCTTTGGGGAAATAGCTTAGTTTCATTTCTTGAACACAGAAAAATGATCAGGGCGTGATTGATCACTAACCAGAGCGGGCATACGTGGTAGGAAGAATTCAGAGAATCCTTTCACCTCTTAGAATTGTTTTCCAAATTGGTATCGTAATTACGGCTTCTCTCGCTGCAGCCTTACAGGAATATTTTAAACAGATTGACATGGA